TTTTCCCCCCGCGAATACCTTCCCTTTGTTTAAAAATGTTCGTCTTTGAGTTTACATGCTTTTTAAAAAAACTCAAATTTGAAGAAAGGAAGCATTTTATTGTTTTCTAATCTTTCTGTTATCCCACTGTATTGTTTTGGGGCTGAGTAACAATTAATAAAAAGGGCAGAATTAATAATTTATTGTATAGTGCAAATTTCCACTCAACAGCAAGCTCTATGCGCTTTGCAAGCTATTGTCTGCGTTTGAAATATTCTGCTTTATCTGAAGCCTTGCCTCACAATCCTTCAATGCAAACTGAATACAAATTGTAATTTTTTGCCGTTGTTTTGGTGAGTGTTTTACGGCGCTCGCAACCGCGTAAGGTCATTATGAACGCGAGAGACTCACTGTAACTCACAAACGTCTTTTTTTGTCTTTTCTTGCAGGCTGCTGTTTTAGAAGCCGTGCGGAGTTTGAACTGTGACCTCGTCCTTGAGCTTTTGCCAGACAGCAGTCAGCAGCCTCGACTGTCGGGAGAATTGGTGAGTTATATCATATGTGAGGCAGCGTGGTGGAATCAGGCTCTGGTAAATTTTTGGGCATGTAGAGTTATTAGTTTCATCTTAAAGTTTGTTCTGTTGGCTTTATAGGGATGAAAAAAATATCCGTTTATCTTGAATACAAGTCGTGATATTTGCGAATGAAGGAGGTGGGGTTCACCTGTTTTCAGAGGTAAAATTAGTGAGAAAATGGTTGCCAAAGATTAGTTATTTCGTAAGCTAAAGAGTCCGTGGTAACTGAAAATTTACATTTTTTTGTGCCTTTAATCTACGTTTTTCAGAAAAATCCACACAGAAATGAGTTCTTTAATGGGCATGAAAGGTGTTTAGCCAAAAAACAGAAATCTGATGAAAATTCACAAACCAACAGAAAAAAGCAAAGTTTCTTCACTTTGATTATTTTGACGAGAGCCTGATTCCGCCACACTGCCTCACAAATGTGTTAAGAAAAAAAAGAAAGGAAAAAAAAATGATCCTCCACTTCACCCATCGACAACAACGTCATAAAAAATTACTAACTTAATACAACACGGACAATATAAGAGAGGAGTGGAAAGAACATTAGAATTGAAAATATCTCAGAGAAAACAAAAATAACAGGTCAAACAAATGGACGCCAAACCCAAGCCGACATCGCCTCCAGAGAGACAGACGGTGGCCTCCAGGGAGACGGTGGCCTCCAGGGAGACGGTGGGAGACGGTGGCCCTGGCGAAGCGCACGCTCTTCGGGGCTCCAAGCATTTCGAACGGATAGGCTACCACACACATACACACCGACAACAACGACTCGGCCACCATTAACAGCTTTAACAGTATCAACAACAGCTGCAACACCAATAAAAACAGCAACAAGAATGAAAAGAGCTAAAACAACTACAACAACATGAACAACAACAATAACCACACCACCACCAACAACAACTACAACAACGACAAGGACGAGCAGCAACAACACCATCACCACCACCACCACCAACAACAACAACAACAACACCATCACCATTGCTACCAACAACACCATCACCACCACCACCACCAACAACAACAACAACAACAACACCATCACCACCACCATCACCATCACCACCA